AATAAACTTTATTTAGTCACTTCTGCAGCATGAATATGGGTTTACTATTTGCATATACTCTAGTACTGTGTGTACACAAGTAATGTTTTTAGACAAGTCATTTTTTTCTTTGTTTAAATGTATTTCAGCAAGAAGTTTAAATTGACCTCAACATGACTCCTCTGTCTGTACGTGTGTGTGTGTGTGTGCGCGCGCGCACCCAGTCTGTCTGTAGTCAGTCTGCCGCTGGCCAAGATCATCCCCATCATCAACGGTCAGATCAACACCATCTGCAGTGAAACTCCCAGCCACTTTGTTCAGGTAAAGTCAGGCTTCAGACAGACAGCAGAGGTCGCCACAGTAACATCTGATGTGTTGTAGAACAAACCAGTTAAACAAGAAAATAATCAGCAGATTAACGTTTTAGTTATTAGTTGCAGCCCTACTCGTGTGTTTGAAAAATGTTAAAACACTAAACTAGAAGTTTGTTTTAGCTTTTTTAAAACGGTCTTTCTTTGTGTCATGATCTAACATATGTTCCAATTACAAACTATTTTAATCAGTAATCACTGTACTGGAATCAAATTCCTTCTGTGTTCAACATATTTGGCAAATAAAGATGATTCTGATAAATGTTCTCCACCAAACAAAAACTTGATGGGTGATCCCCCTGTGACACCTGTGCTCCCAAACAACCCCCTAAAACACAACACGCCATAAAGTTTGTCTTGTAAAAGGAGCATCATTCTCTTCTTTGCTGACCACCCCTCTAACTTCCTGTTGGTCTGTGCAGGACCTGCTGCTGAACGACCAGGTGAAGGAGTTTGCGGCCAATGTCTACGAGACCTTCAGCACATCACACGAGCTGCAGAAATAACCAGCCAATCAGGAACAGAAGAAGAGTGGTGTGGGATGAAAACCAGAAAAGATCAAACCTCTGTAGTGTTTATCCCACATCCTCTCTCTGAGGCACTTTTCTCCACAGCATCCTACAGCTTGTGGTGAAAACGTGCACAACAAAACATTCACAGCAGCGTCTGTGTCCCCTCTGTGGAAAGCGCCATGATGGATTATTAAACCAGTTGAGGAAAAAGAGACCTGCACTGGGTTTGTAGTCGCAGCAGGGCCTGTGATAAACCCTGGGAGCACAGCATCATGGGAACTGGAGTCGTATTAAACCTGGTAATCTTTTAATTTACCCTGAGATGTGGGAAATGAGCGGGGAAACACTGAAACCATCAGAAAGTGCAGCGAGGGATCAGAGTTGGCTGTCCCCTCGTTTGTCAGCAGCGGTGAGTGTGTGTTCGGTCTGCGCGGTGGCTGTGGGCTTCCACGTCAGAAGGGTTCACAATTTGTAAGGTTAATTATGTAGTCACTGCTGCAGTTCATCAGGGCTGGATTCTCAGTCGGCAAAATCTTGTTTTGCATCAAACCATCAATCATCATTATTAACAAACCAACAAAAAAAATCACCAGAAATTAAAAGACTTAAACATGATCTGAAAAACCCAGTTGAGAGACCAGTCTGTACATTTTCAGTGTAGTTCCTGTTTGGCCTAGTAGGTGTCACTGCTGTTCAGCTGTCGTGGGAGCCACCTGTACTCGTCCTTTCATATCACACCAACACATTCATTTATTGTCTCCTGTTTAATTCAAATGACGTCCACTAGTTTACTCAGCACTCATTTTTTTTAAGAGTCAGTGCCATTGGTAATCTTTTTCTCCCAGTCTTTGGAGTTAAATCCTTTAACTGGGAGAAGAGTGTTTCCCTCAACTCATTCAGTTTGATGGTTTTGGTTTGTTTCTTGTTCTTACTGAATTTGTATGAATGTGATTTCCAGAAGAGCTGAAAAGATTTTACAGTTTTTTTGTGTCATAATTACAGGTAATACTGCAGCTAACAATGTTTTTATTGTCAGTTAATCTACAGGTTGTTTTTTCAATCAGTGGTTTATAAGATGTGATTTAAAAAAAAAAGCCTTTTTTTTAAGAACCTAGAAACGGCGACTATTTTGATATTTTGCTTAAAAAAGTTGGATCATCAAAATAGTCCCCAGTGAATTTTGTCAGTCAATTGATCATTGCAGCTTTAATTATAAGACTGTTCTCCAAAGCTGAGAAAACTGAGATCACGCTACAAACTGCACAGTTTTCTGACTTTTCCACTGTACCAGTTTGTTAACACACCAGATTCATCTAATCTGTGGGAGAAAATATGGAAAATGGGCAGTTTGGTCCCAGAGAGCAAGAGGAAGGCCCTGATTGAGGTGACCGGTCTGAGTCAGTGATTCATCGGTTCTGCCTTCATTTGCTCCAAATCATGCATTTATTCTTATTATTATTCTTAATACACTACTTATTCAAACTTTTCAGCTTTTTAAAATTTGAGTACAGGTACTTCAAATCATCTGGGAGCCTGTAATCACAGTAGAAATATGCTTCAGCTTTGACCCAGATCCTGACAGATCTGGGTCAAGTTCTGTTTACTGTGATGCTGTTTAGGGTTTGTGGGTGAGGTTTGACACCTGTGGAGGTAATAGCAAGTTTCCATCAGGAGCTCCATTATCTTTTACTTGGCCCATGTTAAATCTGTCAAGCTGATGGATTCAGTTCAGTTCTGTTGTTTGAAAGGATCAACTTCAAAATCCTATGATTGGTCAAACAAGTCTAGTGATAAAATAAGAACACAGCCTGGGTTTCAGTGACACCTCTGGTGCCTGGGGAGATGACCCAGAAACCAGCTGGTGGAGAGAAACAGTGAATCCCCCTCCTCCAGTTTATGTCCGTGGATGAGTGTCTACCTGTCACAGTCAGGTGATGAGGAAACATCAGGGGATGGTTCTGCTGATGTACTTCCTGATTCCAGGGAAAAATATGAACGGTTGTATTCAATCAATTATTTTATGCCTTTTGTAGCTTAATGTCCTGAATGACATCTACAATTTATTGACCAGATAATAAAAGTTTCACACACTTCCTTTGTTTTGTTTCCTCTCTCTGTCCAAAACTACAAATGTACTTGTGAGAACGTTTTCCTTGGATGCTTCGAGCTGAGTAGTCAACAGGTAACAGGACATGGGTGTGTCAACAGGGGGTGCCCCCCTGTCGTAAGATCCACACTGTTGGAAAACATCTGCCTGGGTTAATGGTTGATGCTGTTAAAGCTCTGACTAATGCACATCAGAGGCTTATGTTCTTATGTAATTACTGATTCATGAATTTACGAAAGAAATTTACCACAATGGAACTTGTATCATTTCAGCTTAGATGTTACAAAGAAGCTCATTTGGTTTCTCTGTGATTTTTGTAGAGCTGAACTCTGAACTCTATCCAGTTCCCCTGGAAATAAACTAATTGCTTTATTTAATTGCGTGTAACAGACCTGAAATCCGCACACAGGCTGCTGCGGTTTGTCACTGTTTTTTTTACTGAAAACCAAGGACATAAAAACAAGAACAGCAACATCCTGCTGGAAATCAGCTGTATGTGTATTAAGGTTTATTTTGTAGCTGACTGCAACTTGATTATGGATAAGATTTTTTTTATCTAAAGTTGTAATGTTTCAACCTTAGTCAACAGTTACATTTCTTACCCAGTGTTACACTTTATTTGTTTTTTAAGGCATACTGTACTGTTATGATAAAAACTTGCTTGTGATCAGAAAACTGCAGGTTTGATCCCCAGACCAGCAGAGAAAGTGTAAGTGCAGTGACGTCCCCCTGAGCAAGGCGCATTTACCTCCGATTGCTCCAGTAGATCAGACGTGAAATTCACACTTGAATGGAAAACCTCCTATTTTCTAGTGTGGCTAAGTCATGATGTTGTTGGGACTGTTTCCTTCTTTTGTCATTTTGCAGGACAGAAATTGAGACAGAGTATATTGAATTACTGAAGAACAAATTATAACACATTGCTGATAAAATATATGGCCATATTAACATGGTGCTGTTTTCCACTTCTGCATGAAACTCACGTCACAGTCCAGATTCTAAAGTCGGGTATTGTGAAATTTTCCTGCGTTAACACCTCGTGAGCCTTTTAAAGGAACGTCTTCCGATTCCTTTGGCATTGTTTGACTTAAGTGGATGCTTGAATGTTATCATCAACTCAGTTTCTGCGTCAGTAAGGCAGGAAGGTGATGTACTAACTACACAAATGTTGCTTATTACCCTGCTTTCTGGTGGCGCACTGTGCTTTGACTCTTCATTCAAAACTTGCTCGGGCTGTTTGAGGGAACTTCCTACTGAGAAACCTAATATTTGACTTCAGGAGTTGTGAGTGGGAGTACCTGAACACATCACCAGTTCCTGTGAGGTCTTGCTGGTTCACTTTGGGAGGGGAGGAGTTTCAGTCCCATCTGAAGAACACATCTTCACTGTTCATGTGCTGTGTTGTTGTTTTTCTTGTCTCGTTTTGCCACAAAGATCCCCTTTGACCTTGAACGATAAAGCTGCAGTGACAAATCGTTCTCAGTGAAGCTTTAAAGAAGCTTCCGGTGAAAGTTCTTATCATGGTGAAGGTGCAAGATGTGCAAACAGTGGGAAAAAGTCAGAAGACCAAATATCAGCAGCCCTGGAAACAGAAGAGACGTCACACATGGGTCCAAGGGTCAACACGAGAGCAGAGAGGAAGGCGGAACTGTCACAACCCCAGGCGGCTTCAGACAAATGAGCCAAGACAAGGGTCAGGGATTTGAATTAAAAATAACACAGTTAAATTCAACCTCTAATTTTAGACAAGTGCCTGTATGGTACTCTGTGTGTGTGTGCACTTACACACATGATAACATTCAGTTTCTTTCTGGTTAAGTGTGACTCAAATGATGACCTCATCTCTGTCCAGAGCCCCTCTGAGGTTTTACCTTGTAAGGAGAAGTGAACAAGGGATGTTTTCTTCTTTGGTGGGTGGATGAACGTAGGCCACCTCAAGGATGGCGCCGGAGACAGAACTTGCCTTTCTGTCTTTTATCACACACACACACACACACAGGTAACTGCACTAACAATCCTTGTAAACCCCAAACTAAATACACCCTGCCCAGAAGAGCATCATGGGGGATCCCACCAGGTCTCTCTACCCCCAATGCTACAATATTACATTACAGTGGCCTGAGCTGAAAGCATGTTGTGTGACTTTGACTTTCTTAGAATCTTTGCTTAATTAGAGCAGAATTATTAACATATATTAAGAAGTTGAATCATGTGTAAATCTAAAACAAAACATCTTAGAGTTGATTCTTTCCACAGTGATCTGATACCAAACTGTCAGTCAGGAACAAATCTGCTAACTTGGCATTTAAATTAGTTATTGCTTTTGAAAGGTGTGGTGTCACAGAGAAACCGCAAACACCGAAATCATCATTATTCCCTCTGGCTTGAATATTACCAAAATGGCTTTTCATTCCTGAGAAGAAAAACGCAGAGAAAAGTGACCGACACTATTCAAATAGTTATAAGAAACAAATGAAAAAGAGGAATTCAGAGGTAAATGACTCACTTTAAAATGAACTATATTAAAACTAAAATGAGGTCAAACAAATTCCAGTAAAAAAGAAAGACGACAACTCAAGTAAATCAAAGTGAAAATGCAGCAGTTTTCTGAAAAAAGGACGTAAAAGATGATCCTGACTCAGGTTGTTTCACAATCTCTGGATCCAGACACCAAAGATCTGGGCCCTAAAACAACACAAGAAGTCGATCTCCTGCCCATTGTTCTATTCAAATAACAGCACAAGACACCGGACTTTACCACAAAATGAACTATAGAGAAGTAATATTACATCAAGTTGTAACAGAACTGTATAATTTACGAGTTTCAGAATCAACTTTTGACTAAGGTTTGGATAGAAAACATAAGGAAAGATTTCAGGTGTTTGCATTATTTTGAGTCTGTAACAAGACTAACAAGTTGTTGAGGTTAACGTCTGTCATATTTGGACCTTTTTACAACTCACTTACTCTGTTTTATCACTTCAGAGGGAACTACGTTGACTTCTAGTGCATTTGTTTTGTTGAGGCCCAGTTTAAACTTCACTGAACCTTAATCCTAAACTTAACCAAAAATCAAAAGTCTAAACTGCTTTTTGTTCCCAAATAGGAACAATGTGACATTGTGAACAGACTATAATGAATTCTCTTGTCTCATAACATAAAGGCTTAACCCTTGACCCAACTTTAATTATAAGCTTAACCCTAAACCTACATCCAAACCCGCAAACAGTCCTTTTTAGGACGGGAGGTTCTTCATTTTACAAAAAAGCCATCACTGTTGAAGTCTACAAGTTGGGCTGGTCCTCAGAAAAAATGCACAAGCACACTCTGTCAGGCAGATGGTTAACAAACTGCCCTGTGATGAGAGTGCTGTGTGGTCTGAAGCGCTGTGATTGTGTGTAATGAGTCTGACCCAGAGTCGGTTTGGACACAGAGCTGCCAGTCAGCTGCAGCTTCTTGACCTCCCGACCCACTCCCCTCAACACGCTGCAGACTGACAGTGCTGAATGTCTGACAGTCAGGTGGCGGTGGTGTCACCAGGCCAGTCATGCTGACAAAATCATTTTTATGCGTCCTAAAACAGGATTGAAAACCCCATGTAAACATGCTGAGTCATGCAGAGTGGCAGAGTCGAGGCTTTGTTCCATAAAAAAGGCCTTTATTTGCTGAGTAACTGTGCGGGTGAGGCAGCTTTCCAAGGGCAAAAAAAACAAAAACAAATTCAGCTCAAATTAGCCTGCATCACATGACAGTGTGTAACAGTTTGAACTTTTGTCACAGTCTTATTTGTTCCTGCTCCACAGTGACTTAGTCTTTGCCCCGCTGGTGCACAGAACTGGAAATCCCCCAGTTGCTGAGCAGACAGCGTGAGCCGCTGGTGTTGAAGGCTGTCCTGCTGCATAATGCTGCCCACGTATGCTCTGCTGACCTGTATTGGAAATGTGGAAATACACGACAGACGGGAACAGGTAGTTCCCATCTGTCACAGACTGAAAAACATGTTACCCTGCAGGGGGATGTTGAGAGTCTGTTAAAGTCCCGAAA